TGCTGCTGCTGCTGTTGCAGTTGCCGCTGCTGCTGCAGCACACAAGCCTGCTGCTGCAGCACACAAGCCTGCTGCTGCTGCTATACGTTGCTGCTGCTGCTGCTATGCGTTGCTGCTGCTGCTGTTATACGTTGCTGCTGCTGCTGCTACAGCGGCAACACACAGCAGCAGCAACAGCAGCCACAGCAACAGCAGCAACTGCTGCTGCTGCTGCTGCACCACAGCAACAGGAACAGCAAAAGGAGACCGACAGAAAAGGAGACAAAAAGGAGACAGAAAAGGAGACAGAAAAGGAGACAGAAAAGGAGACAGAAAGGAGACAGAAAGGAGACAAAAAAGGAGACAGAAAAGGAGACAGAAAGAGAGACTCACCTCTGCTGATGTTTGCTGCTGCGCAGCAGCACGAGCAGTCCATTGCTGCAGCAGCGAAGACAGCCGCTGCATCCTCAATCTCAGCTTCTTCGATTGCTCCTGCTGCTGCTGCTGCTGCTGCTGCTGCTGCTGCTGCTGCTGCTGCTGTCTCAGGTGCAGCAGCAGAGACTCCAGCAGCAAACCCCATTCCAAAAGGAGACAGTCATCTCCTGCTGCTAGCGAGCGGCGACACAGAGACAGAGACTCAGCCTGCACGCACTGCAGCAGCAGCAGCAGCAGCAGCAGCAGCAGCAACAGCAGCAGCAGCAGTAGCAGCAGTAGCAGCAGCAGTAGCAGCAGGGGAGAAAAGAAGTTAAATACGCAGAGACAGCAAGTGTCTTTGAGCGGAAAGGAGACAAAAAAGGAGACAGAAAAGAGACAAAAGGAGACAAAAGGAGACAGAAAAGGAGACAGAGAAGAGACAAAAGGAGACAGAAAAGAGACAAAAGGAGACAAAAGGAGACAGAGAAGACACAAAAGGAGACAGAAAAGAGACAAAAGGAGACAAAAAAAAAGAAAGAAAAGAGACAAAAGGGGAGAAAAGAAAGGCGACAAAAGGAAACAATAAAAGAGACAGAAAAGGAGACAGAAAAGGAGACAAAAAGAAGACAGAAAAGGAGACAGAAGAGGAGACAAAAGGAGACAAAAGGAGACAAAAAAGGAGACAAAAGGAGACAGAAAAGGAGACAAAAGGAGACAGTTGGTGATGTACTGACGTCAAGAAAGGCAAATTCTCTCAGCAGCTGCAGCCGCTGTCTCTGAATGCGGGTAATCAAAGACGAGTGCTGCTGCTGCTGCTGCTGCTGCTGCTGCTGTTGCTGCTGCTGCTGCTGCTGTTGTTGTTGCTGTTGCTCCTGCTGCTGTTGCGGCTGCTGGTGTTCTGTTTGCTGCTGATGCGGTTGCTGCTGCTGCTGCTGCTGTTCTGCTTGCTGCTGCTGCTGCTGCTGCTGCTGCTGCTGCTGCTGCTCTGCAGCAGCTGTCTCGGCCCCCGTAATTTCTGCTATTCTTTCTGCGCTAGCCAGGGACTGCAGCGCTTCGTGTACAGCAGCTTCTTGCTGCTGCTGCTGCTGCTGCTGCTGCTGCTGTTGCTGTTGCTGTGGAGTGTCGCCTCCTGCTGCTGCTGCTGCTGCTGCTGCTGGTGCTGCTGCTGCTGCTGTTGTACGCAGGGCGATTGCTTTTGCTGCTTCAGCGCATGCAAGGTGTATGTACACCCCAGCCTTTGGTCTGCTGCTGCAGGCAGCAACAGCAGAATCTCGGGCTCGACATACAGCAGCAAGCGAAGCACCGCCGGTACCCTGCAGCAGCAGCAGCAGCAGCAGCAGCAGCAGCAGCAGCAGCAGCAGAAGGGGGGCAGCAAAGGAGTGAGACGGAAGAAGTCATAGGCTCAGCTGCAGCAACAGCAGCAACAGCAGCAACAACAGCAGCACCAGCAGCAACACCAGCAGCAGCAACAGAAGCAACAACAACAACAGCAAGAGCAACAACAACAGCAGCAGCAACAACAACAACAGCAGCAGCACCACCACCCCCACCACCACCACCAGCAACAGCAGCAGCAGCAGCAGCAGCAGCACCACCACCACCACCATCAGCAACAGCAGCACCACCAGCAGCAGCACCACCAGCAGCAACAGCAGCAGCAGCAGCAGCACCACCACCCCCACCACAATCAGCAACAGCAGCAGCAGCAGCACTACCACCACCAGCGACAGCAGCAACAGCAGCAGCAGCAGCAGCAGCAGCAGCAGCAGCAGCAGCAGCAGGAGTATGTACAAGTGCATGTATATATCTCGACCATAGCTGGGGGTCGCGGGGATAGTTTCTGATTGCCCTTTGTAGTATTTGTCTTTGTGCATGCAGGAGAAAAGAAGAAGAAAAAGTTTTTTTTGTTGCTGCTGCTGCTGCTGCTGCTGCTGCTCTTGCTCCTGCTACTGCTGCTGCTGCAGATGCTGCTGCTGCCACATCTTTGTCTCCATTTGTATCACCACCACCAGCAGCAGCAGCAGCAGCAATTACTGCTTCTGCTGCAGCAGCAGCAGCAGCAACTGCTGCTTCTGGGGTATCATTCTCCTGCTGCTGCTGTTGCTGCTGCTGCTGGTCTACTGTTTTCTCTGCCTCAGCAGCAGCAGCAGCAGCAGCAGCAGCAGCAATATAATCAGCAAATTCTTTATATAAATCAGGACGCACAGAACCTAACTCCTCTAGGGCCCTATAGTAAGTTACAAAGACACGGCTGCTGTCTCCTTGCTGCTTCTCTGCTTCTATATATTCTCCCCATACACGAGCTATCAGCTGCATATACACCCCACAGCAACACCAGTATTTTATTTATTTTTTTTTATTTTTTTTTATTTGGGGTTTGTGTATGGAGCAGCAGAAGAAGGGATAGAACATGCAGCAGCAAGAGATGCAGCAGCAGCAGCAGCAGCAGCAGCAGCAGCGGCGGCAGCAGCAACAGAAATGACAGCAGCAGCAGCAGCAACACAGCAATAGGATATGCTGTAGCACCAGCAGCAGCAGCAGCAGCAACAGAAACAACAGCAGCACCAGCAGCAGCAGCAGCAGCAACAGAAACAACAGCAGCAGCAGCATCTGCAGCAGCAGCAGAAAGACAAAACAAAACAAAAAACAAAAAAACAAACAAAAACAAAAAAACAAAAACAACAAAACAAAAAACAAAAACAAAACAAAAGAAAAAGAAAAATAGAAAAACCCAAAACAAAAAAACAAAAAAAAAAAAAAAAAAAAAAAAAAAAAAAAAAAAAAAAAAAAAAAAAAAAAATTTTTTTTTTTTTT